TGCAACGTCACGCCTTTTTTCCCCCTGCTTATTGTTTGTTTATATATGTATATATTTATTCACGCTATATCCTGCATCGCAAAGAAAACGTTTTTGCGAGAGAGAGTTCCAAATACTTTGTAGCGCAATGTATTATCTATGAGCACATATGTCTACAAACATGAATAAAACCTACCCTAATCTCCGACAGCTTAAATAATGCCGGGCATGGCGAGCCCCGTGGATCTCAGGCGAACGTCGTTCTATTTTCGTCAAAAGATAAATTCGGACCAACATCGATTTGTAAAAGGAAGGTCTGTTGAAACCAACCTTTGTACTTTTTTTATTACTCGTCACCGATATTTTTTTGAACAAGGACAAGTGGATAACGTGTACTTTGATATACCCAAGACCTTGGATACGGTAAAACATCTTTTATTACTGTCGAAACGTCGGTCGTATGGCCTATGCCCTCAGTACCCTACCTGGTTTAAGGATCATACATAATTTTACGTCGAAATGCGGTTCGCATTTCCAATACATTGTCTGATCATAGCGCCCTCTATACTGGCAAAGCCTGGCAGATCGCCACGAGACGCGGCCGCCGAAAGTGAAAAGGTAGGGCGGCAGACAACGGATGAGAGGAGAGTCATGTAACGGGCGCCCCGCTGCGGCGAGACGCCAAAACACACTTCTCCCGACCGAATGAATCAATAAAGACTTTATTTGGCCCAAAGGAAGATGGATCCCGAATTCTGTTGAGTCCGGGCTCCCCTTCGTGCCTGTGCTGCCCAGTTGGTGTTGGGAAGTGGTCCCCCAGGGTCCTGGATGATCCAGGTCCTGGGTTGCGCCTCACTTTCCGCGAGTTGTACGATGGCCAGTTGGGTGTCCTTGCTGCGGCGTACAACCGCGGCCTCCAATTCGTTAGTCGTCTTAAAGACCTTAGGTGCACAATATATGGGTACTTCCATAAGATATGTTGCAAGTCTGCCTGATCTCCGCACCTCTGGCAGCTGGATTGGTAAAAGTCGGGGTGTATCTTACTTAGTATGTGTGGGTTTGGTAGTGTATTGGCCTGTACCTGTCTATTCATTACTGCCTGATGCCTTGTGAGTGTCCGGTGCGGTTCCGGATATCTGGCCCTATCCGAGCGGAATGTCCGTTCGTGCACCTCGCGTTCCTCGCGCTACTTCAATCAATTCATATGGAATCCTTCTGAAAAACCTTTTTGGGAACAAATCTTAAAGTTTGTGTGTAACGCATATCTCAGCTTTTCTTTTATACAACATTCCAGACTACCCGTGCTACACAGGAATGAGAATGCGTTAAAATAACCTAAAGTGTCGAGGCTTTTTCTGTAACAGTTGGAGAGAGAACGCGATTCAAAAACGACGCAGCGGTTAACTGCTGGAGCCCAACGTTCCGCTTCGTCTTTTGGGGAAGTTCATTTCTTCAAATAAGAAACATGTCTGAACATAGAATTAAAAATGATTTGATATCTCCTACAGTAGATAGAGAAATTCGAGGAAAGTAAAATATACGAATGTACACACCGCGACACCAGCGGTTTTTCCACTTTACTCAAACAGCGTGTCGAGGGACGGAAATTTTTAACACCTAGGTTGGGGCCTGAGATGAGCCCGTTTTACCACAAGTAATTGCATAAATAGTGTAATTTGTCGGAGTTTATACGATAAGAAACTCCGGAACTGACTCCTTCGAATTAACTGTGTCACGCTGTGTACATCATCGACAATGCAACGGGGGTGGGGGAGTTCCGATTGACCGCTACAGAACTCTGGTTTGGGGGGGGGGGGGGGGGGGTTAGGACCCTTAAACCCCCCCCCCCCCCCCCTTCCAACCCTGCCGTGGGTGCGCCACTGCGGGAGACTGTGCACACCGCGACACTGTTAGCGTGAATACGATCATCGGCGGTTTTTGCATTTTGCTCGGACAGTGTATTGAGGGGCGCAAGGTTGTGACACCTTAGGTTGGTGCATCAGATGAACACTTTTTACCACATAGATAATTTTGGTAATAGTCTGTCATCTGTCAATGCAAGATTGTACATTACGGAAATGACTCGCTCGTGCCGTGTACATCACCAGTGCAACGGCGAGGGGAGGAAGAGGGAGAGGGGTGGGGGCGATTAGTTCATTTACCCTTAAAGATCCTCGTTGCGGACATTACTTTAGAAAACACGTCAAAATGTGCACAAAAAAATTCTCACAAAGCTCGGGGGGGGGGGGGGGGGGGGGGGGGCTATGACTCCCCCGTGGGTGCGCCACTGATCCTGTTCAACTCTTCCATTGTAACGTTGCCGAGAAATGCAGAAAAACGAGTGGGAAAGCCATACTTTCCTTGCATGTGATGCTATTTTATGTGGTTGTCAATAAACTGAGTTACTTTATGGAGAATACTCTTCCACATTCTACATTTTGTAATTGAGATCTTCCTTCTGGGAATCAGAATATGTTATTCCTAGTTGCACGACTCCATCCTACTCCCTGCTCTTTGTGTGGTGGACAGTCGTCTAGCATGCATATTGCTCTCCGACTATCCAGTGGTATGAGGAAGTTGTGAATCCTTTCGTAGAATTACATTCTAAATTCGACAGGTTGTACTGAACACCGGAAACAAACGGAGGTACGCATGAAATAAAAATTGTACAAGCTTGATGATGCTGACAAGAACTGGTAAGCAGAGAATGTGCGATAAGCCTTCCAGGGAAGAAGAGAAGGACGTGTGAACGGCACCGCCTGTCGAAGATTCGCTTTCATTTCTGACACACGCCAAGAGATGGCGTTGCACGACAGGAAAGGTTGCGAAGCGTGCAACCACCCCTTCACGCGCCGTGCGGATGAGCTCGCTTTTGCCTGGTCCGTACTAGAGTGCCTCAATGCCCAAAGCGCACATGAAGGCACCCTAGTTCATACTACCGACCTTAGATAACCTCGGTCGGCTAAGCACTTTGCTCGTAGCTCTCAAACTGGCGAGTTCAAACTCTGCCGGGGGACTAAAGTTTTGTTTTTTATACTTGCCGCCAAACGTTGCAGCCCTTCATGAAGATCGGCTAATTAAACGCGTGTTAAACTAGATTGCCCGGGACTTCTGGCTAATTTATGGCGCTGTGAAATCAAGCAGATATATGCACACCCTTTTTCGTTTAACGAAAATCAAATATAAAATTTACCCTAAAACTTTACAAGGATTTATTGCTCTAAAGTGACTGGCAGACGAGGACGTCGAGGAAAGAAAAATTGTTGCGATCTAAAACTATACACCAACTCATGTTTACAAACAAACCGGAGCGCCCGGAGCGCCCCTAGCGGACGCCACCGGCGCCGCGCATGCGCGATGGGGGTGTGGGCAAAAAGCTCGCCGTCGCCCATAAACAAACCATTGAAATGCGATGTTGTCAGCGGCGGTGTGAGTCCCCCTGCCCTTTTTCGCGTTCGAATTGTTGGTTCTACGTCTTCCTGGCGATGTCTGACTATCTTGAGCGGCGTCAGCGAAATTACCGAGGCTCGTTACACCGCAAAACTTCGCGTGAATAATGTGACATGCGGCGATTCATTCCGCGTTGACGCCGCAGATTGTACGCTAAAGCCTGATTCGCATGATGAGATTTCGCTCGGAATTTTCAGTCGCGACGCCGCTCGGGCTGCAAAAGCGTGAACCGTAGCTGAGATGGTCAACGACGATACCGAAAATCGCAAGCAGAATCGGACCAACTGAATTAGGCATAACAACAAGTCGGTGTTGGTCACTAATAACAATGACCAACATCTCCTTGTATCTACTGTTTACATCGAGCCTGCTTACCAACCTTCAAATTTAAGTCTTTTGAGGCCTGCACTCACTTCTTATCGCAAGTACCGGGCCAACATTTGGTCTACGGACCGGCGTCGTCTAAGAGAGCAGACGACAAGCAGAAACTTTTGAAAGAGCAGACGACAATTCGAACAATCAGGCGGTCGTTTGAACTTGAAGACGCACTGAACGTAGTCCACAGGTGGTCCGCACAACTTGACAGTTTTCTGGCGTTCATGTTGAAACAAAACAAATAAATCTGATGACCACAAGTATCCGTGAATTCAACCCAAAGTGCTTCCCGTCCAAGCAATCGTTGTCCGACGGCGTCTGCTTTTCCCTTGTCACGGCACATATCCAGATTCTCGGACGAACCGAGCACGCGAAAACTGACCTTCAAACCTTTCTTGACACTTTTGGTACGGCCCCAGTCGCGGCGTTTTGACGAGAAGGCAGGTTTTCGTCTGGTTTTTTTCAAAACAACGCAGGAATACACGTCTGGCATGGGGAGTCGGGACTTCTGCCCACAGCCCTAGACCGGAAGTGCGACCGACGCGCCACCACCGCGCCGTGACGTCACAGAGATGAGTTCGTGTATAGTACGGTTTGTGACAGCATGACATGAGCATGCAAAACGTCACGAGCGGTGTCGAATTGCGGGCTTCAATTGGAGCCGAGCTGTTTTTCCAATCATATCACTCTTTGTACTTTCATCCTGTAGATTGCAGTAATCTGTTTTCTGATGGTCGCACTCGGCATCTCCGTACAGTATGGGTACACGGTCAAAAGTCCGGGCTTGCTATTGATAAGATATGACATGAAAGTTTCAGTTTGTCTCGAGCCTTACCCACAACTTCCTCCCTCAGCGCAGAAGCTACTGGCCGTTAAGGTAGGTGCACATTTTCTGTCGTACACAGATGTTGGGGTAGAATTACTTTGAATCGTACTTGGGTAGATTGCTTGTACCACTCGACAGTGCTGCAGAGTGACATTTGGGAGCACTTCAAGAATGGTTGCAGCATTCCTTAAGCCACACGTCAGCCTACCGAGCCCCGATTCCAAGCACTCGTGTAAACGCCGCGTTAGAAGCGAGGCTGTGATTTCCGTCGGGGAGAACACCCGTTGCACCGGACACCCGCAGTTTTTGGAGAGCGCCTGCTTTCTGGCATTGGCATTACGGCACAATTGAAGCAGCCGCTGTTTTCCTGTAAATGCTGACCTTGTGTGCAAAAACTAATCGAAGGCTGGTCTTCCAAAGAGCGTGAAGCAACTGTTTGATCTGTTCCAGAATGTTATGGGTTTACGAGTTTGTGTCATTGCCTTGTGGTTTTGACATCTTGCTTATGTGATTTCAAATGTCCACCACAGGTATTCCGAAGAAGAAGCCTGCACGATTTACATATTTCTTTGCATACCACGGAAGAATGGCAGGCGGCAACCATGCCCCTGTGGAGATGGTGTCCTTCAGAGTAGCCGGGTTCTCCGACGCCCTAGACTGGAGGCCCACGCTGTTCCAAGAGCCCATCATTGCGCAGAAAACGTGCGTCCTCTGCGGGGTTTTATACAAGAAAGCAGTCGGGCTGCCCTGCATCCACACGCTGTGCATGAAGTGCCATGCCCAGTGTGTCGACGAAGGGAGTGCGTGTCCCGTCGACCAGAAACCCTTCTGCGAAGATGATGTTGAGCAGCTGGAGGTCCCTCTCAAATACATCCTGAACCGTACTGTGAGTACATAACCTCCCCCTCGCAGTTACTAATTCAGCTGTCCACTCTTCTTTTCTGCCCGAGTGTGTCGGGCACAGAAGAGTTGCATGAGTCTAGACCCGATGATTTACTTTGTGGGTCATCTCTCTAGTGACACAAGAAGTAGTTGGCGAGCATAAAGAGGTTTCTTACGTACAAGTGCACTAACAGTATTCGCACCATTTTCTGCTTCCATTGAATGGCATTAACAGCCTCTACTAAGTTCCTATATTACTAGCATAAACATTCTTTAATCAAAAGACAGTTCGCCCAATTTCAATGCCTTTTCTTTGGTCCCAGGTTGCTTGCTGGAACGCACCTAAAGGCTGCAGCTTCATTGGTCCTGTAGCATGCCTCTTGAACCACTACAAGGAATGTGACTTCAACGTCGTGCCCTGCTGCCTGTGTCACTCAACAGTGCTGCAGAGTGACATCTTGGAGCACTTCAAGAATGGTTGCAGCATTCCCCAAGCCACGCGTCTGCCTACTGCCAACCCTGCCACCCAAGACCTTAGGAATGTCAGCAAAGCTTGTCTCGAGATGAACAAAGCCATAGGGAAGATCTCCGAGGACATCATGTCGCTGCAGTCAAGTCTGAACCGGTGCAGTGAAGATGTGAGAGCTGAGGGTACAAGATGCAAGGGTCAATTAGAGGCTGAAGCTTCTAGGCTCACTCAGAAGCTAATTGACTTTAGCACAGTCTGTGCCACTGAATTCACCGAGGGACTGCAGATTCTTCAGCAAGCAATGGCCGACTATGAAAAGCATGTGAGTAAGGAGCTCTGTGTGCAAAGGGTCAAGCTGACTGAAGTCTTGGGTGTGGTGCGAAAAAGTTTGCCAAGTCCTAAGCCCGAGACAATCCATTGGTACATTGAACACTGGACAGACCTGAAGAATGAAGCACTTAGAAATGGCTCGAAGAGCTTGTATAGTCCCAAAAGGAATGTGTATGATTACAGTGTATCCCAAGTTGTCTATATTGCACGTATGGGCAGCGAGGTGGGCCTCGGGTGTTTCATGCAGTTACACCCCGGGGAACATGACTCGCACCTAGAGTGGCCCTTCAGCAAGGTGTACTCCGTTGGTGTCATTCACCCGAAGGGCCAGTCAAGTACGATTTCCTACAAGGTAAATGCTGGCTGGCATAAACATCGGAGAAACTTTCTGAGGCCAAAGGGAGGAAGTAATGGAGCTTTTGGAGCAAAGTGCCTCTCCACAGCAGAAGAGCTAGAATTTGACGGGTTTATCGAGAACGATACGCTCCATGTGTTCTTGGAAATCGAACCTTAGGTTTGGTCTTCAACCTTGCCGACCCGCAGCTTGATAACTGATAACATTTAAATATTTTGTTGTGACTAGGCTGAGAAATGCAGGAAAATGATCGAGAAGGGAATACCTGCCTTGCCTGTGATGCTATCGCATTTGGTTGCCAATAAAGGGAGTTACTTTATAAGGCACACTCTTTCACATTACAATATTTGGAATTGAGTGATCTACTGCAGTTGCCGGTATCAGACTCATTTTTTTATATTTCAGCTCGAAAATGGACTGCAGCTCTTTCGTAGGTAATTTCCCATGACCTCTTTGTGTCCTGTGCTGGTGGCATGTTGGGCAGTCATCTGGGATATACGGAGCGCAAGCTCGTCACCTCTTGCACAGGGGTTACGGTGATGTCAGAAGGCCAAGCTCTAATTGGCTGATTGGAAAAAATAGTAGGTAGGCGTCATAGCATTTGAGCCTACCCACTATCCTTCCAATCAAAGCCAATCTGAACTCGGCGTCCTTCTGACGTCACAGCAACCCCTGTACAAGAAGCAGACGACTTGCTGTCCGCATTGTTTGGTTCAGCTGCATCTTAAATTCGACAGAGAGTACTGCACGCCGCAAATAAGCTGGACGAACGGAGATGCGCATACATAAATGAACTGGCAGTGGCACTAACTTTCGTGGTTGAGGGAGGTGGCTCTTGCGGCAAATGATTGGATGAACCTTTACAGTCTTGACTTTGCAGACAGCGAGGCACCAGGGATATGGTGTAAGTAATGCAATGGAGATTCAATAGATGTGCCTGGAAGTGTATCGCTCGAGATATTTTACCTCTGACACGGTCAATCGTCGTTTTCTACTTCTGTTGGCTGCTACAATTTCCTCCCGCCTAGTGAATGATGTATACTGCGGAAAGGTGTAGCCCGCGTGACGTGAAGGAAAACGTGGATCATAATCTTGTTGTCTGCGTTTCTGCACCGCCAGCCTTGCGCCTGTTGCAGGAGTGCCAACTTGAGCGCATCCCCGTCTAAGATTGACCGATTTAGCGGTCTCCGATGGCGTTCAGCAAGTTTATAATTGGAACCATATGTACATTTCCACTCATTAAAAAAAAACTAGTTAACGAATTATAGTTAATTACTTGACTCAGCCGTAAACAAGGGACTGAACTGGTCTCGAAACGCCGGGTAAACGTTTATTAAACTTTTGGTTAGAATCCTTATTTTTCGCTTAATCTCTATGCCTAAACAGACAGAGGGCTTCCGAACGTTTACCTTCAGATCATCATGATTAGCCCTCGACACTATCTCCTCCTTGCCGTATAACTTGCCTGCACAGACCGCATAAGTGCAGCTTTCACAGCATTTTTAAAACAAATCTGTAAAGCCAGAAGAAAAAAAAACAAAATGCTCCGTCTACAACCACATGAGCAACTCAAAAAAACATTTATCGCATTCATATTGCTGCGTTTTCATTTCTCTGTGGGTCCGTACCGTTTCGTTGACACACGATTTGTAGACACGCGGTTCGTCGACGCTCTAAGTCCCGTAGACACCTGCCCCCACAAAATTTTGTTAACAACCTTACAGGCAGAGAAAGCTTCCGAACGTTTACCTTCAGATCATCATGATTAGCCCTCGACACTATCTCCTCCTTGCCGTATAACTTGCCTGCACAGACCGGATAAGTGCAGCTTTCGCAGCATTTTTGAAACAAATCTGTAAAGCCAGAAAGGAAACAAAATGCCCCGTCTATAACCACATAAGCAACTAAAAAAAACATTTATCGCATTCATATTGCTGCGTTTTCACTTCTGTGTGGATCCCCGTACCGTTTCGTTGACACACCATTCGTAGACACGCGGTTCGTCGACGCTCTAAGTCCCGTAGACACCTGCCCCCACAAAATTTTGTTAACAACCTTTTTCTTTTTTTTAGTGAGTCGCTACGAGTTAGCGAGTGATTCACTGAGGAGCGTTTACCCAAGCTTTGAGCCCAGCTCCTTCACTCTCCCCCCGTGAACGAAACGCAAGACGCTTTTTGCGAAAACAGCAGGGTTGCGTTCGACGAAACGTCGCAAGAAGGTCTGTCGACAAAACGATCTGCCGATGAAACATATATATGTTTATTTATTCACGCTATCCTGCATGGCATAGAAGACATTTCTTGCGAGAGAGCGTTCAAAATACTGTGTCGTGCAGTGCATTCTGTATGAGCACATATATCTACAAACATGAATAAAACCTGTCCTAATCTCTGATAGATATCTCTATGATAGATATTTCAATCGTCCTTGCTACTGTGATTCGAGTTTGAGCTATCTTGACTTAGAAGAGCTATCGAAGCGACGAGTCAGTCGTGATTTTTTTTTTTTTTTTTACACGAAGTCATTATTTGAAAAGTCGATACTATCTCACTGGTATCGTCCGTGAATTTTCATGCCCCTATTCGGAGTGGTAGGTTTATTTCACCATTTTATCGGAACACTCCACCTCATGCTTCGTCCACCGTAAAATACCGGGCAAGCGCTCACTCAAAATTTAGAGATAATCGCGAAAAAATGGGGGATGGGCGCTTGTCCCGTCACCAATTTTACATGTCAATGTACTGTGCATATTTTCTCAGATCTTAAAAATTTGGGTATGAGCGCTTAGTGTAGTATAGGCGATTGCGCGGTATTCTACGACATGTCTAGAATTCAATATCTCTATAATGAAATTTCTAACCCCGATATGGACATAAATGCGGATAATTTCTTGGGAAAAGTAAAATATCGGTAGCGTTTGATGTTTTGTTTTACTTGCTTCCATGTTCTTCTTCTACTATTTAGATTTCATGCGCATTATTGTCGTAACAGCACTTCAATAAATTTGTACCACATAATCTGGTTTTTGATAGTAACGCTTATATTTTGTTGATGGATAGGCGCTGTATAGTCTTGTTTATGATAGTTTACACTATTTGAGGGTTAAACTGTTCAGTGTCCTAAACTATTCGGTCAATGCTTTAGCTTCTATTTTTGTTTTCAGTGTTCCAATAAGAAGGTTTTATTGCTGTTTTTGGACATTACCAGAAAACAAAGTATTATTATTAGTTGTTGTAGTATCGTTCCTGATCCAATGAGATCGCAGTATTTTTCGACCAGAACGTCAAAGAACGAATCGCCAAACAGGAACCATTAACATTTCTTGGGTTGCCATTGACTATAAAAAAAGTAGAATTTGTGTTATCACACAAAAAAGACAAATAAAATCTGCGCTATCGCACAAAAAGAACAAAGAAAAAAAATCAGTGTTATGACACAAAAAGAAAAGACAAAGAAAATATCTGTTAGCGTGGAAAAGAAAAAGAAAATCAGTGTTATATTACACGAATAAAATATATGCTACCGATGCCACTGTTTTTTCAGCGTCACTATAAGTTTATTTATTGCAAATGTTGCAAAGATTGTAGTATTTGCAACTCATTAAAGTCACCGTATTGCGCTTAGTAATATATTAAATTCTGGTCATGTGTTCCTTTTGTTTCTCGCTGTACTTTAGGTCAGATGCATTTAGCGTTCTTGTAAATGTGTTTTCGTGGTTTCTACAAGCAGCTAGTTAGTTTGTACCAGCGACCTGTATGTGCTTCATTGTGTATTTTTCTTCCACGCTGCAATAACCCTAAAAGGGCTGGCAGTATTATTAAATGATTGAAATTAATTAATTAATTAATTAATTAATTAATGAAACAAGACGGAAAATCAGCGTTATGACACAAAAAAGGAAAGAAAAAAATCGATGTTATGACACCAAAACAGGCAAAGAAAATCACTATTGTGGGACAAAGACGAAAAAAAATCAATTATCACACAAAAACGACAAAAAAAATCAGTGTTATGACAAAAAAAATTGTCGTTAGTTGTTTACACAGCAGGAGATTAGTCTGCCAGACATGGCGACATTGTTAGCCACTGTGGATGAGCCATTTAGCCAGTGCAGTACAACCGCTAGCCTGGGGTCTTTAACGTGCATCACGCAGTAGTGATACACGACCCCACGCCGGTACGATGCTCATCCAGATCGAAAGGGGCAGGGGCGGGGCTCGAACCCAGGATCCCTGGGTTCTGCAGCGCGAGCTTTCGCTCCACGTGCTCCGAGCTGGTGTGCGCTAGCCGACTCGGCCACCGATCCCCCCAGTGTTATGACGCATAAACGAAAAAGGAACTCACTACTGTTATGACACAAAAAAGACAAAGAAAGTCAGTGTTACAACACAAGAAAGAGTGATCAAAATACTTAATCATTTTTCCGTATTTGCTCGAGTAATTGGCTCGCACTTCTTATGAGCAAGGACCTTGCGTCTACTTTCCTTGCACAGCACACATACAGCCAATCATCGCGTTCTGCAAACAAACAAACAAAACAAAGAAACGTGGCGAATAACCAGGGCGGGAGCACGATTCTCCCTAAAATCGCGATCTCAGCAGATAGCACAAATTTGCGTGGAGACGTTATCTCCGTCCTCCAAATCGCTGAGGTTTTTTCCGCTGATCGCGGCAATGCACGATCCCCGTGCTCCGCGGGAAAGCAGACCCGCAGGCCTTGTTCATATACAGCAAGATTATTACTAAAGCAAGTGCGGTATAAGTATATTTAAAACAATTTAATAGGGTAATAATCAATGTATTAACAAGAACATGCAAAAAGAAACAACAACAACAATAACAACAACTTTATTTACGGGTACATTTGTTGGACGGCCATCGTGAGACCCTGAATCAATAAAACTGGGTAGGTAACTTCATTCCTCAACTGTCGGTACAAAAAAAAAAAAACAAAAAAACAAAATACACGAGTGTTTAAAAGCATATGAGTTCTGCAGTTCAATCATCTAATTTTGCGGGCTTAATCTAATCATTGTGAAATCTGGTTATTTTGAGAGACTAGAATTTCAAGCAGTATGTTCAGTCCCCAAATTTGACACCATTTACGTTAGTTCTCCAGTCTCCCTCATTTCTGCTTGCACGTTTATAATTTTTTATTTCTGCTTGCTACATTAAGATAAAAGAAAAAAAAAAAACCATTTAAGGACATAAAAAAGCGGGGCAATTATTTAACGCCGACCTTACTCAAAAGGCGCATCGGTTTAGTTAACAATTCTAAATAACCATTGCATAAAAAAAAAAAAAAAATAGCGTCAGTGCGTCGGCGGCGTGAGTTTTTGTA